GCTGCTGGCTGGGGTAAAACCACAGCAACACTGCAATGATGCTGGGCAAAAATTCTGCCTTTCCAGTGCTGTACACATGTCTTCATGATTAGTTGAAAGTTATTAATTATACTTGTCTTTTAAATTGAGGTTCATCACAGTACAATTCAGTTATATGCTTGAGCTTTGTCCCAGTTCCACAGAAATAAAAAAATAATCTGGTTAGTATCTTTGCAAACAGGATTTTAGGAATCTAGTAATGAGACAATGCTGATTGTAGAAATTATCCTGAGTTAATCAGCTTTTATTAGTTTGATTAGCAATCCTTAAATTAACTTAATTTCTTCACTGTGGCTGTGCTGGGGTGTATTCAGTTCATTTGGTACACTGCTGGTTTTAAAGCAGCTCTGCTATTAAAACTGTTATGTTTTGGTGAGTTGTTTTGGTTAAGAGGAATTCTTTGACTAATTTATGCAATAAAAATTTGTTGTGTGTGGTGCTTGAAATTGGACACTGGCCAAAATCATCCTGCAGCTTTTTGCATAGCTGAAACACTTGGATATAGCTTTTTGGATAAGTTTTTTGATTCAGTGTGAAAATAATGCTGATAATACACTGATGTCCTTTTGATTATTGGCTAGGCAGTAATCAAAAGGACTTTTTACTCTCATGCTCTGTCAGTGAGAAGCTGGGCAAAAAGCTGGGAGGGAACTGATCAGGACAGCTGATCCGAACTGGCCAAGGGGATATTCTGTACTATAGAATATCATGGCCAGTATATAAACTGGGGGGGTTTCCTGGAAGGGTGTCTAATCACAGTTCAGGGATGGGTTTGGCATCAGTTGACAGGTGGTGAGCAATTTGTTTTGCATCACTTGTTTCTCTTGATTTTTTTTCCTCTCTCTATATGATAATACTAAAATTAATTTTTACTTTGCTTCAGTTATTAAGCTGTTCTTATCTCAACCCATGAGTTTTACTTTTTTTCTGATTTCCTCCCCATCCCACCGTGGTTGTGGTGGGAAGTGAGTGAGTTGGTTACGTAGTACTTAGTTCTTGGTTGGGGTTAAACCACAACAGTCCTTTCTGGCACTCAGTGTGGGGCATGAAGGGTTGAGATAACCACAGACCTGACCAGGGCATGTTGAAACAAATTTGTTATAAGTAATATATTGTATTGGTTTAATAGTCACAGGTTGCAATTTTGATTTATTTGCTATCAGAGCTGTTGTGCTTGTTCTCAGAGGTGTGTTATGTAATGACTTGCTTGCAGTATGTGCTCCCTGTGGTGCTGTTTATCCTCTGTGGGGCCTGGACTAAGATTATAATTCGGATGTACTTTGTAGTGTGGGCTAATGATATGAGCACTGCTGGTTGGGAAACTAATCTGGTATGTATATTCAGTATTGCAATCACCTCTATACTCTGGGAGTCATCTACTGGGAATAGTTAATAATCACACCTTTGTCCTTTTCTCCAACCTGTAGGGGAGATACCTTCCTACATTTTTCTTGCTTTCCTTCCTTCTCTTTCAGACTGCTTACAGTAGCATTTGAGAATTGTAAGGATTTTGAATATCTTTTGAATACCCTCAAAACCAACCTGGTCCTTTTGCTGGGAGCCAACATGTTACTGCATATGGTTCAGGTCTGTTTAAGGTTACACAACCAAGTAAGAACATCACCCAGAGATCTGCGCCAAGGCTGGATGGTTATGAGTGTCAGGGAGTATGGAATAGTATAGCTAAGTGCCTAGGACAATGGGCACCTCCAGTGTTTTGGAACTTCTCCTCTGAACAAGCGGAGAATCCAGAAAAAACTATGAAAATGTTTGGAAAAGGTGACTTGTCACCCTGGCAGTTTCACAAATCACTGCAATGTGCTGGGGCCTGGCCCAGGCCAACTGAGCCCTGTTCAACAGAGCTCAGTGCCCACAGCAGGGAGAGGGGAGGGAAGGTCTGTGATGGAAAAGCAAAAGCCCCTGCAGATGCTCCCAACCTGGTGACAGGCCAACATGTGCTGGTATTAGTTGTCCATGTACAGAAGAAGAAATGCATGTGAAGGTCACCTTTAGTAAGGATGGACAAGATGGGCTAAGAGGCTGAAGCACCAGGTGCATCACAATGACCATTACTGGGATCATGACAGGAACAGGAGGAAGAGACAAGAGAGGTAACCACCACTTGATTCCTATCCTTGACTAGCTGTGGGAGATATAAAAGATTCAGATGTTAGCCAGATGAACGTGTTACTGCCTGGCTGCTCTGATGCTGCAGTGATGGAGCTAGCAGTTTGGAATTCAAGGGTAAGGAAGCCAAGCAGCTGGGAAACCTGCAGTCTTCTGATTGTTAACTTAATTTCTAATTGGGGTTAAACCATGACATCTTGTCACTGGGCACGATGGAAAAAACCTGTCTCCCTCTTCTTCACTCCATCCTTTACTCTGCCCCTCAGGAGTACTTCACCTGCCTCTCACACTCTGCACTCCACAACACAAGAAGAAGAACATGGACCAAACCAAACAACCAAACAGTAAATGAATTCTCTCTGTCTCTCTCCCTTTTCTTCTCCTCCCCCTCCTCCTCTCCTGCAAAGTGCTCCAGAACCTCACCGACAGTATTATGGAAAACTGGAAGAATTAAGGGAAGGATTTTCATCTGTGTGCTATGATGAAATAACTATTGACTACTAGGTATCCTGTATACAGTCAGTGGAATGGATTGAGAGGTGTAAAATGATGAATAATGGAGGACTAAAAGTTTTTTTTTTGTGGTGAAGAAATAGCAGAGTTTGCTTTTTAGAGGTGAGGATGTGGGTATGTGTATTTCTGTGCTGAATATACTTACTTAATGCATATAAAGGTGAAACCCCAAAAGCTGTTTTTGTACAGAGAAGTCACATACCCTATTTGATTACATTTCTAGTGTCACTTTCCTGTCAGTGAAGTGTTACAAATAGTAAACACTTTCTGTTGCATTTTGCAGTGAAGGAAAACATGGCTTTGCCTTTGGTCATAAGTCCAAGTTTCATTTTCTTGGGACTGGTCATATCAACAAGATTATATGTGGAACTTTAATAGATGGGAATAAATGAAGGATTTGTGGTATACAAATCAGCTGTTTACTACAGAGGGAAGTTTTTCCACTTGTACATGTCAAGGTGTATTTGCCTGTATAGACTTGATAAGTTAAATCCAAAACCACCCTCAATTTAATGTGATACTGATTTTCAGAATGGGATAGTGTTGTGGTTTAACCTGAGCTGGCAAATGAGTCACTTCCCTCCCCACCCCCAGTGGGGAGAACTGGAAAAACAAAGTAAAAGTTGTGGGTTGAGGTAAGAGCACTTTAGTAATTGAAACAAAATAAAATACACTGCTGCCAACTGCAATGACAAGGAGAGCCGGAACCCAAGAGAAACAAGTGATGCACAATACAGTTGCTCATGACCTGTTGACTCATGCCCAGCCTGTCCACAAGCAGCTATCAGCCCCTCATGACCAGCTCCCCCAGTTTATTTACTGGCCATGATGTTCTGTGGTGCAGAATATGCCAGTTCGGGTCGGGTGTCCCAGCCATGTTCCATCCCAGTGTGTTGTGCACCTGCTCACTGTCAGAGCATGGCAAACCTGGATTTAGAGTAAGCACTACTCAGCAACAGCTGAAACATCCGTGTGTTCTCAACCTTATTCTCACACTGAATCCAAAATGCAGCACTATGGCAGCTGCTAGGAAGAAAGTTAACTTTATCCTAACTGAAAGCAGAGGACACAGTGGCAGAAATCTAGTTGATTTGAATTGAAACAGGGATAGAATGTAGTGTGAGGAGGAGAATAGGATGTTTTTGAAGGTGAGAGTGTGGGAAAAGAAATGCAAGGATGCAAGTGCTAAGGATGGATAGTGGCATGCTGGGTGAAGTGAGGAGGCAAAATGAAAGGAAAAAAATGATACAGAAAGCAGGCTAAATTTCGAAATACTCATGGGACCGTGAAGCATGTAAAGACATAAAGGCATCTTCCACATACAGCTTTCTTGCACAGTGATTCATACCGAACTAGAAAAGACATGAAGCTAATGAAATTAGTGGCTAATATGCTGACATGCAGGCAAGACATGGTTACAGTGTGTAGCATAAAAGCTGTGGTTCTGTGCATTTTGCAGATGTAAAAAATGAGGAATGAGTTATACAGTCAGGAAAGTGAAATCGATAAAGATCTAGTCACAGTTGAGTTATCTGTATTCTGGGATGAGCATTTTGTAAGATTAATGAAGAATTTTGTGAACAATAGATAGCATATGGTGATGTATAGTTGGAAATTGCAACACCTTCTGAAACTAATGTATAAATGTTGGTTGCCTAAAGATCAGTCCTTTCATGAGTACTGTATCTTGGTATGAATAGAAATGTCTTTGTTTTTAGTCATCCTCAGCGTAGGAAGGGAAATAAGAGGAAACACTGATTTTGTGTGTCACTTGCATGCTTTTTTTTCTTTTTTAAGAGGTTTCAGAGAATGTGGATTAATAGTCCTGTAGTTAAACTGCTAATCTGGGAGCTAGGAGGTCCAAGTGCTCTTTCTCTGTATCTACAGTGTAAGTGGGAAGTGAGTAATTGGTTTTCTCTATCTACTATATGGGAATAATGATATTTTATCAGAGCTGTAGCTTTGTTCCTCAAGATTGTTCCTGTGTAATGTAACTCTGTAGGCAGCAAATGTGCAGATGGATCTACACAGGAAGATGCTTAGTTAACTTGAGAAAACATGCTGTAAAAACAGAGGTATAGACTGGACTGCATGCATGCCACTTACGGTAGTGCTTGTGCTGGGTAAAGGCTGAGCATTCTTAAAGGAGGAAGGAGAAAAAGTAAACATTTATTTCGTGCCTTTAATACTAGCATGGGCAGATGATTTTGGAGGTCTTTTTCCTGTTTGAAAACATGTATGTTGAATCTCAGAATTTGTTTTATGGATTACCCTATACAATGTAAGTTATTTTCTTTCTGTTCTTCTTTCTTTTTTTTTAAGCTAGGTTGGAAGTGAACCACAATGGCTGCTGTCGACTCAGATGATCCTCCAAACCCAAGCTGCAAAATCATGACTTTTAGGCCTTCAATGGATGAATTCAGGGACTTCAACAAATACGTGGTATACATGGAATCACAAGGTGCACATAGGGCTGGTGTTGCAAAGGTAAACATCCATAACATAGAAGTGAAATTGTTCCTAATACCTGTTCTCCCAGTATTTGTACTTTGCTGATTACTATCTGACCGTTATAGTATTAACATTTGTTTCCAAATGACTTTCCATGAATAGGTTATAGGATCTGTAACTGGTTAAGAAACAGCCTTTTGGCATCTCTGATGCAGAGCAGTGAAGATGATTTATACTGTTTTCTCTCTAAATTTTTTACGTTTACAATAGCAAAATTGAATCTCATGTTCATAAGTAGATTTAAACTAGTTTTTGTGAAATCAGAATAAAATAGGCGGTTTGTAGTATAAATTAAAGTAGTTCTGATCTCCCAGGTGTTGAACTTGGTCGTTTATGGTTGTGTAAAGCTTTACTGGAGCAAATAATCCCACTGCAGTCAATGGTGGGTTGCATAAACGTAGTGAAGCACTGTTTGAGTAGAAATAATTTTCTTTTTAAGGGTGGTCATGTTATCTTTTTGTTAATGGGAATTGGTGTTACAGTAACTACCATTGCATTGCCCTTTGAACTGTGGCATGTGCAAAACCTTACAGCAAGCATTTCTCCTCTAACAGAGAATGATTGTCAGAGGTAAAGTCTGATGTAATTTGGTGATGCATTATATAAGTGTTTATGCTGTGTCTGTTTTGCCCTTTTCGAACAAGCAGGACACAGTGTGGGTCTGGAAATACTAGCTTAGGTATTTTAAGTACTCAGTGGGAATAACCATCTCCATCACTGGGGTTTAAAGCTAATCTTTTGAAGACAAGACATTTAGAATCTGAGAGATGAGAAACAAAACTTGGAATTCTTGGTTTCCCCCTGCCCACTCCCTCCTCCTGCTTCCTGTAAAACAATGCAAAACCGAACTCCTCACACTTTGAAAACCTCTTAGGTTATTTGGTTTTACGTTTCTGAGGATAGACTACATATAGGTCATATTCTCAAACTCTTCTCTGCAAACAGAAGTAGAAATGTGATGAACAGACAGCAGTGGAAAGCACGAACTTAATTTTTCCTATGTTCAATTGTGTTATGAAACCTGTTTGTTTGTCTGAGGGTGAACTATTGCAGTCTGTTCATCTTGAACAGTAAAGTGCAAGTCAATTGTAGTGACATCTGTTACTCAACAGGTTTGCACCATTAACATGTATGTGAGCAGGAAATTCTAGGTATGTATCATTCTGTGAACTTTGTTAATGGACTCAGCTTTAAGGAAATTCTCATTTTCATATTGTCTATATAAATAACTTTATTTCAACTTTTGGTGTTTTCTAATAATGTTTCATGGTCTTCTTGCCAAAGAAGTAGAAGGTGCCTTATGACCAGCCACTGAGATGATGCTTATTTTCTTCTATTTCAGTTTTATTTTTATAGAATGTGCTTGCTTTCTTTGGTAAGCTGTGTTTAAAACAAAGACAGGTATGCATAAATTGTACTTCTTGCTTTCTCTGACTATATAAGGAAGTTATTATATGAGCCAGGAAAAACAACCTAAACCCAAAATGAATTAGTTTTGTTTAAAAAGAGTATTTTTATATGTTCTTTATTGTGGTTATATCTGTCCTAGACTGCAACTAATCTTTCATTTGATAGTATTAAAAATCAGATGTTTTTTAATTAAAAAAAAGGCAGCTTGTATTTAATTTAACTTTAAAAAAATGGCTTATCCCTTTACATCTATGACAGTTGTCAGGAGGTGTATCAACAAATGCGATACTATGATCCTTAAAATGTCTGTGCAAACTGCTGTTCTTATTTCTGAGGCTTTCATAATAAATTAGAAGTTCAGTTACTCTCCATCACCTATTTTTGTGCTGCTTCTCTTCTGTCAGGGATTGAAGCAGCTGGGAATGCTGGTGAGTGGCTTCCAGATACATGGTGCTAATTGCTCCTCTGGTGCTGCTAGTGTAGTTAAGATTAACTTTGGGACTAAAGTATGTCAAGGTTTGAGACCAATGTGCTAGTCATTTGTGTGTGTGAAGTTTTGGACATCTGGAACAGGGGATTTTTTTCATGTGTTGGCCTACTTGGTTTCAAAACTTCAGCCAGCCGGAAGAGTAAAAAGATAATGATTTTCTCTTACTGGAGATAGTCTTCGTATTTTTTTGAGACATGAATATGACTTCAGTTGTCATTCTGGAGTGGGATTATTTGCTCCAGTAAAGCTTTACAGAACCATAAAAGACCAAGGTCAACGCCTGGTAGATCAGAGCTCCGTTAGTTTATACTCAGAGTTACCTGTTTTATTCTCATTTGACAAAAACAAATTTAAATCTACTTAAGAAGGGATTTGATTTTGCTATTTTAAACATAGTGAACCAAACAGTACTTCACCATTTGGTTCTTGATTCTGGTTCTGGTTCCTTTCCTAACATCTAGCAAATCTCCACATGCAACCAGTGCAGAAGAAAAGGGCAGAGCCATTAAGGATGACCTGAGGAGAACAATGGCTAACATTCGGAAAGATTATATGAAACAGTTTTGCTGTTATTGTATTGTTTAAAATTTCTGTAATACTGCTGTCCTCTTCATATTCTTATTCCTAGTTTTGCTCTCCTCTCCCTCCTCTCCTGCCTCTTCCCTGTTGCCTCCTCTTCCCCTCTCCTCCCTCTTCCTCCCATGATTTTCTGCAGTAACCAAGCATGAGATTATTTCATGAACATATGAAATGAGTATGATCCAAGTAGTCACTTGTTACTGAAAGGAAAAGATGACATAGTATCAGTAAACTGTACTACTGCTGTACTTTAAGAGTTGTAGTTAATAGGTGAACTTTGTTTCCTGTAACCTCATTCTGAAGTTTTGAAACTCCTTAAAGAACACTGTAATGGATGAAAGTAGCAGTTGCCTAAGTTAGGCACTTGAATATGTGAATCTGACTTTTTCAAAGTACTAGATGCAACAGTGTTATTTACCAGGTGTTTCTGTATTTTGAGGAGTATAATGCAGATATTGACCATAGAACGGATGCAGAGATGTAAAATGTTTAATTTAACTTAGCACTACTTTAGTAAAATACCAGTTTGTGAAATGCCTGTGGTCTGTTCTTCTTCGTGATGGCATAATGCTGAAAGATGCAGAGTGAAATCCCCTGAGTTGAAAATGAGTGGGAAATCCATTCTAGTACTTTAAGTGACAGTGAAGATACTTCACAGATGTGACAGCTTTCAGGATTAGTGTGAAAAGGGGGTACTAAATTTTATATGTATATCCCTGGTTAACACCATGTTAGCTGTCTTAATTTTTAAGTTTTCAATGAACATATTTTTTTAAAGTGTAATTGTTTGGGGTTTTTATACTGAAAG